TAATAATAATAATAATAATAATAATAATAATAATAATAATAATAATACAATGATTATAATAATATTATTATATTATATTAAATATAATATAATAATATTTAATAATAATTTAATTGTATTTTACCCGATTCTCCAACAACCACAGCAGTTAAAAACCCTCCTTAGAGTTGGTTCTGGCTGGGATTAAAGCCCGTTTCCCCCCTGATCATAAGAAGAGGAGCACCAAAAGCCTTTGAGGATAAATCTGGCTGGACTTCCCACCTGAGTACTCCTGCGTGGCATCGAGCGGGTCAATCCACACGGTGAGGCTCTCAGCGGGAACCTCCCTGCCCCCTTCAATCTTCTCTAAGATTTCAGCCGGGATATTCTTACTCCAGGCAGCGGCGTCCGGCTCGTTGTAATGCTCCTCACTGTTAACCTTCACACACAGACATGCAGGTCTGAGACCAGAAGCCCTTCGGGATCCTTCCTCTCACTTTCAGGAGGTAAACACAGACTCTATGGGCTCACCGTGAGCTGGGGGAAGGTGTTCTTTATCAGGTTGAACATCTTCCTGTGGGACTCCAGGTCCCCCATGGTCAGGAGCTCCTGGGCCCCCTCCCTCGTCTTCCCCTTGGACTTCTCATTCAGGCCGTTCTCTTCCCGGAGCCTCTTCACCTGAACAGACGGAGAAATGAGGAGAGTGGGGGGGTTGTTGTCGTTTCTCTTTGGGGAAGACATATTTATTCTATTCAAACTGAGAACAACAGGACGACAACCAAAGGACAAAAAGATGCTCCGATTACATTAATCTAATCTGAACAAATGTCAAGTTTTCTTCAACATAAATGCTAAAATCAAGCTTTTTGCATACTGTAAAGACACAAAATACTGAGGCAAGCTGTACAACTTCCACTCTGTGAAAGGATGGGAGACCATGGCTAACCACCAGAGGTCTTCAGGACCCACTAAAGCTGAAGCATTTCTGTTGGTTTGGGACAGTTTTTACACCCTTAATCTGTCGGCTCATTTCCTTTCTTTGAGTTAAAGCCTCAAAATGCAAAAGGAGTTTTTAAAAAATTAAAGTAAAGATGTTCAAGAGGCTTTTTGATATCATGGACATTTTGTCCTCGAGACAGAAAAGCAGCACTGTGTCAGAGGAAGATTCGGGCTGGATGAGGATAGCAGATAAGGGCTGGTCTAGGAGAAACAAACCCTTCAGTTACAGGAAATAAACGGTGGGATTTTAAGAAGAAAATGGCGGTTTGGCTGTACCTCTTTCCCACCGAGCACAGCAGCCTCCACAGAGACGGCCAGCAGGTCCCTCAGGTCCACCTTCCTTCTCTGTCTGCTCAGCAAAGTCACAAAAGAGGGAAAAGACTTGCTTTTAGTCTATTTTATGACAGAAAATCAGTTTTTAGCACATTAGCCTCATGAGCTCCTGGTTGGTGGATTTTAGTATTTCAAAGGAACAAAGGGACAGTGTTTCCCTCCACAGTCTGAGAACAGCTGTGGGTTTGTTCTTCAAGCATGTTTGACATCCCGTTTAAGTGTCCCACCACAAATACGCAACACCCTGCATCATATTCACTGAAGAGAAACATGGATTAACTCAGTCCAGAGTCCTGAAATGCAAATATTTGAGAAGGAGGTTTGTTACTGAACCCAGAAATCCACCTTAAGCATCTCTTAACAACTGTGTAACCTCTTGTATTTCACAGGAAACCACGTCTATAAACAATGGAGCCTTTCTTTATAGCAGATGGATCACTTTCTAATCCAGATGTTCAGAAACAAGCCACATCCTGGTTCACCATCAGGATAGAAATGTATTAAAATGATGATATCTCACGTTAAGTAAAGGGGAGGAAAACCTACCTGAAATAAGCCAGGTGGCCGGAGAGGACCCCCGCGTACAGGTGGTAGATGACCCCCACCCCGAGCAGGCAAAACACGGCCACACCGAGCGGGGAAAGCCGGATCCCCATCGGAGCCATGTCCCGGGGGAACTTTATCTAACTTTATCTGACCGGGGGGAGCTAGCAGTTAGCCGGAAGGCTGACGTGGCCCCTCCGGCTCCACAGGACCCGGGAAGCCTCTAGATAGCCTCCTCACACCCGAGGTGAAGCTCCCCGATAAGCGTGACGACTGTCATAAATTAAAACCGTCGGAAACGAAACAAAAAAGCCCAAACTGGCCAATCTAGATCGACTTGCTAGCCGATTAGCCGTCTATAGCATTTTGAGGTTCACGGACTGACCGGCGTCGTTTCTGTTTGCCATAATATTTCCCGTTAACGGCAGCTGGATTCCTCCTTTTTGTCACCGTTAAGTAGTCAGGAAAAAGATCTCAGCGGTGTCTAACGTAGGACAGAACAATCGCGTCTCTGTTCCTTCATTTTTTCTTCCGACGCACTGGCGTCACGACTCCTCTTCCGGGTTACGGCCGGTGTCGTCATCACTGGGGCCCGTGGTGCGTTTAGGGTCGTTCGTTTATTTGAGCTAATTGCGCAATTCGACAAAAAGTGTTAAAAGTTCATTTATTTATCTGGTTATTCATTACCCTAACAATAACTACAACATATGTAATGAAACAATAGTCTTAGCTTCTAATAAAAGTGAATTAGCTCTTTCTTTTTTAAATCACTTTATTTGGCTAAACAATGTTTCATCCTTAATATAAACTGATCTTTTCAGATCCTCCATCAGGTTATCACCTCTGCTAGCGTTCCCTACAACAAACATTTCCTTACATGTATTTAATGTCACTGTGCCAAACATTTTAAATATCCAAATATGACATGTCTTGTGGTAGCCACAATTTATTTTGGGTCACATGGGAACAGCAAATGTGTGTTGCTAACTTTCTATTCCCCACTTTATTTGGTTTCTCTTCTGTACCTACGTTGTAACTCCCTGTAGGCTAATAAAAAGTTGTTCTATATTTAGGCTTGTTTTTATCAGTTTTACTTTTAATAAAAACTCAGATATACACAATAAGAAAGTCCTTTTTGTGCTTAAAGGTAGTTTCCTTTTCTGAAATAACAGAAGCTCACAAACACAGGACACAAACTAATACAAGACAAATAACTCCAAAGTCACGCGTGATATAAGAGCTCAAGCTTTTTTAAAGTTTATTTTATAAAGTATGATGTGAGGATTTACAAAAAAGTCATCAGAGAGGATCAAGCTTTCCTCACTGTTACAGATTCCCACCATATTTTTACCTTAAATTCAAAGTACTAAAACAGAACCACGTCCTCTTCTATGTCTCTCCTCCTCCGGCTCTTCAGTCAGTCAGGATTCAATAGAGACCTGGAGGAGTTTGCCTCCCTTCTCTTTAGTCAGTAGAGCCCTAGTCGCCTCCTTTTCCAGCTTGTTCTGGTGGCCAGTTGACAGAAACGTGGTAGGACTTCAGCTCCTCCTCGGACACCGGGGCGGGGGCCCGGCTCATCAGGTCATGTCCGCGGAACGACTTGGGGAAAGCGATGACATCACGGATGCTGGGAGCTCCCACCATGATGGACACCAGCCGGTCCAGACCTAAAGAGGGAGGGACAGCTTCAGCCACTGGTCCTCACATAAGAGAGGAATCAGGAAAGCCTGGATTATGTGTCATTATGGCTATTAACACTTGCTTTTTTACACTAACTTAACTCATGTTGAACAGGGATTTACTCTGATAACAACTAGCTGAATTAGGGGAGTTTGGTAAGGAGACACTGACCTGTTCATTCAGGGAGAAACACAAAATAGGATAAAATGATAAATAACAAATGGAAATGGCGTCAGTGAACAGTAAAAAGTGCAGATAATATTGCAAAAAACACAAACAACCTGAATAGAAAATAGTTTATTAACTCTAAACCAAGGCTTAAAATAGAAAAATAATAATAATATTGTACACTCTATTTAATATTGCTTCACCTCTTGGTCTTTTTCGTCCTCAAGGATAAAATAATCCTACACAACTGAGACTTTTACCGATTTTAGCTTCACATTAACATGGCCGTCTTTAAAGTCTAAAGTTATTTATCTACTTACTTAGCGGTCAGACTCATGTTGAACAGGGAATTACTTTGATAACAACTAGCTGAATTAGGGGAGTTTGGTAAAGAGACACTGACCTGTTTATTCAGGGAGAAACACAAAATAGGATAAAAAATAATCCCAAACAACTGACATTTTTACCAATAGCTTCACATTAAAATGGCCGTCTTAATGGTTAGGACACAGA